CAGTGCTTTCTTGCTGTTTTCATTACTTAGCAACTTTATTCTTTTATACTTCATTTTACCTTGATTCAAACTACTGGTTTTCAAGTCTGTCTTCCCTGCCAGCTCCTGTCTTTTTGTTGCCGGTTCCTAGAATATTGCTTGATACGGTAATGAGTACTCAATTAATTCTTGTTGAAAGAATGAATTGAGTATTAACTCGCCAAGTAATAATAGCTATTTTAACTTTTTTCCTTCAATATTTACATATTGCATGATTTTCAGTTGGGTTTTTCCTTTCTTGTTAGAGTTTTGGGGTTGTGCTTATTCTCTTTAAAATGCACGTTTCCTGATTTTGAAAACCATCTTTGACTAAAGCTGATCTCTCTTTTATGGCTCTTGAGGTAGATTCTGTTATATATCCTTGACTGTTCTCCTCAGATACGACTTTGATACTCAGTATGCTTTTGTTGGTGATTATTCTGGACAGATCACCCTGCTGAAGCTGGAACAGAACACGTGTTCGGTCATTACCACTCTCAAAGGACACGAAGGTGGGCTGTATAATCACCCAGTCGTTTTTCACCAAATTTTGGCAGATTCGGTTCTTAGCTCTGGTTTCATGAATGATCAAATCCTCATAGTCTGTCGGGTTTCAATTTGATTGGCCAGATATGGGATTTAGAGTGAAAACTAAGTGAATGTCTCATATTGTCAAAACCCGTTCTAAATTGCTTATGTGGATAATACTTTCTATATGGTTTACCTTTTTAAATTGAGTTATTGTTTTCAGAAGACCTTTAAAATTTCTTGTAAGTGGTAAGACCTTTGGAAGAATTATTATTTTTAAATGTGCTAGTTTCTAGAACACTGAGCAAGACCTGATAGATCAGTACCATTAGAAGAAATGTATGGGCTGGTTCAGCCTCTCCTTGGGATACATACCCTGGGTAGGGACTGAGGGAAAAGAATTGCTGGGTGGAATTTCATTATTTCTGTAATGTAGTGAGCTGGCAAAGCTCTGTGGAGGGGCCTTAAAATTCCATGTTCGTATTGGGTAACTCGCCATGTACACGTGTGTAATAAAGGCGTTTCATTGAAAACTAAGCTATAATGTCATGCAGGTTTTACACAGATCACAGGTCAGATTCTGGTATGAGTCACGAATTACAAGCTTTGAAGCCATCTGGTTTAGACTGAAAAATTGGGGGTTTGTTGAACTTCTTTATGAAAGTAGTGTTTTAGGTGTAACCAGTTAAATGTATTCTGTGCTTTGTAGGTAAACTATTTAGGTGAAATAGAGTCTGTCAGAGCAGGCACCTTGCAGGGGAGAAGGAAGAAAGGAGAACAGCGAATCAGAGTAGATTAGGGCAGGAGAGCAGAGGCCTCTGAGGAAACCACTTTCCGTTCATGACTAATTGTCTCATGATCCCCAGGCTCTGAAGAATTTTCTGGTTTGCCAAGGGCAGAGTGGGTTCTGGTAACTACTTAGCAGTTTTCCCATTGAAAGACAACGTTAGCTGCTCTGTGGCCTCTCGCTGAAGTGTGTGGGGCTCAGGATTCCACAGGGTCCGAATTCATGCAGAACTGACCCCTGAAGCTGGTTTTGCAGAATGCCTTTTTCTACTTTTGTTTTTGGAGAGTTTATGTGGGAAACTGGTTTCAGTTTGCTTTTCAATGTGGCTTGATTAATTTTCTGTATCTACCAAAAGTATTATTGGCTTGTGTGACTGGTTCAGTTTTATTAAGTTTATTAATAATTTTTTTCTAGGCAAATAGCAGTCAATGAATAACGAAAGGATCTATTAAAAGAAATCTGTAGAAACAAAGATTTCCCCAAGGGTATCAAATTTGATAAGTTAGTCAATTGTGTGAAATGTAATTACG